AATATAACCTTTATATTATATAATATAAATATAAAACCTTTATATTTAGCACCAGTGAAGACTATTTTGCATTGCTGTGGAAAGTTTCTCATGGAGGATTTTTTCCACTTCTCATCCAATGCAGATAATGATCTCTGTGCATTGCCTTTTGACCTTGCAGCCTCTCTCCAAAAGCAATCCAGAAGATGCAAGCAAATTGTGCTTCTTGCTTAAGATGCATATGTGTGACTGGAGAACCTGATTGCTGTAAATATCAAGTCATACAGTTTTATTGAAATGTCCCTTGTTTCCCTGTTGTACCACAGTTGAGAAGTTAGTTGCTCAATGAAAGATTGAATTCATGGAGCAGCTTCTCTAATTATCTGTATTCGGGTTTTCCTGATTCTTTTCCACAGGAGATGCCACAAAGTATAATTTCTTAATTTAGATCATCTTCTAAATCCTTTAGATCAAGGGTGTCAAGCTCAAGGCCCTTGGGCTGGATCCAGCCCATAGGGTGCTTAGATCTGGCCTGCGGGGAAACAGCGAAGGACCGGCCCGCGGTGCCTTTGCCAGTGAAAATGAAGCACAGCCATCCCAGGCTCAGTTTTGGGTTCTGCAGGAGGCCATTGAGGCCAAAAACAAGTGACGTCAAGCTGACACCAGTGATGTCGATCTGGCCACGCCCACCCTGACCCCCTGAGGTCAAACACAATCCTGATGCGGCCCTCAATGAAATCGAGTTTGACACCCCTACTTTACGTCTTCTTTAAAGACTGAGGCCACAAAAGCAGTGAAAGATTTAGGGCTAGGGGGGAAAAAAGACTAGGATAACATTAGGAGAACTGCAAAGGATATAGACCAGTATTTCTCAATCGCAGCAACTTTAAGGTGTGTGGATTTCAATTCCCAGAATACCCTAGGCAGCAGCTTCTACCATGAGGAGAAGTGGGATGAGAAAAGCTGATATAGCCGGCATTTAAGAACAGGGACAGCAAAGTATCTTTAGACTGTATAACAAAGGGAGCCAATTTGGTGTAGTAGTTAAGGGCACTGGTCTAGAAAAAAAGAGGCCATGAGTTCTTGTCTAAGCTTGAACATGAAGCCAGCTGGTGATTTGGGGTCTCTCTCTCCCTCCCTCCCTCCCTCTCTCTTAAAAGAGAGCAATGGCAAGCAACTTTCAAAAGTATTGCCCAAAAAAGTATATGAATTTATTCAGGTGGTCATTAGGAATCAAGACTGACTTGAAACACACATATTAATAAAGATAGCAAAAAATAAAGTGTGGTAGTTCAGATGCTGAGGATGAGGGCGAAGATGAGATGGTAGCAAGACTTAAGTCCTGTAAACCTTTGCTGCAATTAAAAAGTCAGCAGAAGGCTTTTGATCCATTTCACCTGTCATTTTCTAGACAGCCACCTATAGCCTTTGGTGACTAAGTCTGGGTGTTAACCAAGCATTATGAATTCAAAGCCTTCGTGGCAACAGACATATCATCTATCACAAAGGCTGCATGTACAAAAGAAAGAAAGAAAAACCCATGTCTTCCACTGAACGGGGCTGTGCTGTTTGAAAGCGGTTGTTTTATTTGCAATTCTTCCCCTGTTTTAGTATCTTATCTTGGTTTTGCAGGCAAACTGGGGCCACCTCCCTTTGAATCTACTTGACAAAAGGTGTCTCTGCTCCTGGTACATTGTGGTTTGGGAGCATGTTATCATCAGTGCTGACCTTTTGTCCTCTTTTTGTCCTTCTCAGAAATGTCAACTCATTTCCTGACCAATTCCTCCGAAGTTTGTTGAATGGAAGCGTGGATTATTGAAGCATGACACCTGAGTCCTTCGGCTTTTGGTCTTTCAGTGTTTGGGTCCATTGCAACCGCCAGTGACACCATGGCCCACCACAATGTCGGTTTCCAACCTGAACCCTCAGCCCCACCCTTGGATTCCAAGGAGGAAGCCGTGAATGGCAAGGAGGAACCGTCCAATGCTGAGCACAGCCCTTTGGACTGCGTTATCTGCTTCACCCCTTATGACCAGCTCTTTAAACTGCCAAAGGAGCTGAGCTGCAAGCACGTCTTCTGCCTGGAGTGCCTGGCCCGCATCAACGTCTCCTCAGAAGATGTCAACGCCATTACCTGCCCCGTCTGCCGGGCACCCACTGTCTTGCCTCCCCGCAAGGGCCTGCCGGGGCTTCCCACCCGCCGTGACTTGCTGGAGCAGCTCAGCGCAATGCCGGTGCCCCCTGGCTCAGTGCGCTTTGATCGTCGGCGGGGTTTGCTCTACTTGCCAGCGGGGAATAAAAGCGGGGCTCAAGTCGGATCGAAGCCAGGACCTCCGCTCAACACTGTCAGTTTGAGTGTTGATGTCGGGAGGCCTCCTCCCCCAGGGTCGGTCCGAAGGCTGGCCGTCTCGGGTTGGCCATTCTATGCCGCTCTGTCGGTCGCCTTGCTCGTTACTGTCGCCTTGATAGTCTGTGGCATCTACATCTTCATGATGCCTTCCATGTACATTTCAGTGGGAGGATTTCCCAAAGGGAATCACAGCTTTGGCCTTGGAGGAAACCACTCTAATCCCGTAAGTCCGTCCTCAACCGAACGCTAAGAGATGGGCTTCCTGCATCCACCTGTTGTGATTGTGCTGCTGGTAATTTCAGATTCTCCAGAAACTCCCTGGCCTCCTCCAGTTGCCTGGGTAGGATGGATGGGAAGATAAAGCTTCACTCTGCTAATCCTTTTCCTCTCTGGAGGCTGTGGCACCACCAGCACTTTACTGTATGGGGAATCACTCCTGGGACTTCCACTGGCACTTTTTCTCGCAGCCACCCAGCTGAGGATCATCTTTAGAGGAGGTGTATTGGAGAGGTCGAAGTGGCCCCTTTGCTGTTTTATTGCTCAGAGGAACAGGCCAGTGGAAAAACAGAGCATGTTATAACTTCTTGGTGGAAGGGAGACATTAAGCCACCTTAATTGGGACCTTGGCAGAGACATACCATGCTGTTAAAATATTGCCAACCTTCCTTATCCTGGTGCCCTCCAGGCATGCTAGTTCATTATCCCCAACCCCTCCAGGATGTTGTAGTCCAGATGTCAGATGGTGCCAGGCTGGAGACTTATCATTCCAGATGAGGGGAACATCATTTCAAGTACCGAAGCCAATTGCAGCTTGAAACTTTTTCCCCAATCAGAAATTTAATGCAGGGCAGAATGTAACGGGGTAAAACTCTTAGGAAACGTGGTTAGGAAGAGGCAAGCGAGGATGACGTTTCCATTGGCCTTTTCTCCTGAACAGCTGGTGAAATCTACTCTGCGGTTCTGCTTCACAAATGGATCTGGCACATCACTCCCAGGGATTGAGGTTTCTTTGGCAAAGGGACTTCCTCCCTAGGAACTGCACTTTCACTGTTCTTGGTGTTTCTTTTTTGCTTTCTATCCTCTCCTCCTGGGCCCCCAGGCTACACTACTCACAGGAGCAGCTTGGCAGACAAATCCCCCGTTTGGTGTGGGGTTGAGTCATGGGCACCTTTCCAAAGATACCCAAGTGAGATTAATTGTTGATGCTGCTCTGGAATTCTGGCCAGCGTGAATATAGATGTCGAGCCTTGTGGATTACAACAGCCGCTAATGAAGTAGTACAATATCACTTCCAGTTTATTGCTTGTTTTGCTACTTTAGTTTTCTCATCTTCTGTGGCCTGAAAGCAGGAATCCTAAAATGCCAAGGTTTTCCTAACGTCTAGTGAAGCGAGGGGACTTTACCTGCTCTGAGATACTTGCTATGTGGCCATAAAGGCCCAAGACTGGGATTTAGGAAGGAGGGAGAGATGGGGTGGAACAGAAATGCACAAAGACAGCCTGTGATAGAGAGATTTTATCTCCAACTCAAGAGTCATAATTTTTCTTTTATTGGATTGTGGTTATTAATTGGCTGGGGGCAAAAAAACCCCAACCATCTGGCTTTGTATCTGTGGCTTACTAGCAGCAGAAAATGCACAGATCAGCAGATAAAGTGAGAAGCAGTTACGGGCAATTAATGCAGGTCAAATTACTCTGAAACACAACAGGACGGATCAGTTAGGGAAGGAAGAATGCCAGTAAAATTCTGCACTCTTCAGGTTTTGTGCCTTAGAAATTACTCTTTGTTTTTGTTTCTGTTATTGTTGGCCACTTCGTTCTTGGATATATGCCCCAAAGCTGTTTCACCATCCTGTATAAGAAGTCTGTATTATTGGGGGGAAATACTTATCTGTAAAAATATTGGCCAGCTGCTTTGAACTTGATACTTGTGATAAGGAAATTTAGAACTGGAGTCCAAAAGCCTAGGACTCTATGCCCATTGCCCGAAGAAGTTTAATCTTCTTAAATGTTTTGTCTGCAATCACAAATAACCGTTAAAAGACTCTCACAGATTTCTTAAGCATGTCTTGGGAACTTATTCTGGGTTCGTAACATGTAATTTTTTCTCTCTTTATGGTTGGCTAGGAGTTGAGCAAACTCCTCTCCAATCATTCATCACCTGGGCCTGACACCTGAAGTTCAACTAAATTATTGGCATTGGTATCTTTGATTAATTGATCATTGCTATTGAGAGATCTAAATGGATATCTTCCTTAGGTAGCTCTTATTTTTCCTTTGCCCTGTCCCTCAAGCAAATTATTCTTTTCAGCAACCTAAACATTATAACTCCTAAGGTCACAATGGATGAAAGATATACATAATACAACAGTGTTTTATAACCTTAAAGGCTTTAAAACCTGTGAACTTCTAATTTCAGAACTCTGGGAATTGAAATCCATACATCTTAAAAGTTATCACGGTTGAGAAACACTGCAGTAGAGAACATCAGAATCAGCAAGCTAGGCTCTCAGTCTGCTTGTGGAGGCTATTTAGCTATTTGTGTGTGTGTGTCTACTTGACTGCATTTATTAAAATGCTGATTCATGCATATATGGGCAAATGCAAAACAACAATGCCTTGGAGGATGGAACCCAGAATGTTGTTATGGAGGAAGATCCAATTACCCTGTACCTCGAAATCCTGTATATCTATTGAGAGCCAGTTTGGCCTAGTGATTAAAGTGCCAGCCTAGAAATCAGAAGATTATGAGTTCTAGTTCTCCCTCAGGCCTGAAAACAAGCTGGGTGACTTTGGGCCAGTCACTCTCTCTTAGCTTAACCTACTTCACAGGGTTGTTGTTGGGGAAAATTGGAGGATGCCTTGAGTTATTTAACAATGTTTGCCACCTTGAGTTATTTAACAATAATGAAGGGATAAAAATCTAATTAAAAATATCTCAACCACTACAAACAGGAACTTCTAAGAGTCCTTTTTTTAATGGGAAAGAATCTCCTCATTTTGGATGAGCAGGAAGTTGAGGTAATATTAGTTCCTGGTAGTTTCTAATCATCTTTCTGGTTGCCCCCTATCTAAGGAGTTAAAATAATTGTCCAACTTCACTTAAATCTTAAATTTATTCTCCAGAGAGCTATGTCTGCAGTGTACAAAAGAGTGGACTGAGCTCTAATTATACTGAAGAACTGTCCTGGCACACAGTTTTGGCAGCAACAGAGCAAGCGTGCCACGTGACCTCCATCGATCTCTACTATTTTTCCCATTTTCCATAGCTGTTTTAACTCCAGGAGCTGGGCATTATTAAACAAATGATTTTTTTGCCTTAGGGAGACTGGGCTAATTCATCTGTTCATTCATCGGCAGAGATTAAGGCTATATTTTAAAAGAGGCTTTTCAGACTAGTCTAGCCACTCCTTTGCTTCCTTGGCTCTTCTGCAGCAACAAAACATTTCCAAAAGCAAACAAACAAACAAACAAACACACACACACACATACAACCTCCCAGTCAGGTATTAATGGCATTGAGCAGCTTTTCTTTTAAAGTAGTAAGAACAATTTGGAAACAGTCCAAATATACCTGCTTTTTTCAAACATGTAGTTTTTAGAAGTCTGTGGAAGCAGCCAATTATGGTTGGCATTAACTGGCTATGTTTTTTAATCAACTTTAAAAGCCCATCAGAAGGGTTTTTTTTCTCTCTCGAGGCTCTCTTTCTTTTTTGAATATGTTTTATTGGCTAGGCTCTTCTTTCTTAGGAACCTGCTTATAAGAGGACCCCAGTGAACTCAGTGAAACTTACTTCGGAGCCAAACTGCTTGCCCTTCCCTCATTCCCAAGAAGTATGATGAATGGTCAAAGCTGGTGCAAGATTATAAGCCAAAACATTTAGATGGTGCTAGACTAGATTGAGATGCTCTCGAATTAACATGCGTTGATTTCCTATACATGCAGTCAAGTGTGTCTTATACCACAATAGAGCCCCAAATTTCCATTGCTAAGCCAAGGCAGTTAAGTGAATTTTGAATTTTGTCTCATTTGCCACAGTTAAATAAATCACCGCAGCTAGTAACACGGTTAAGTGAATTTGGCTTCCCCATTGACTTCGCTTATCGGAAGGTTGCAAAAGGTTGATCGCATGTCCCTGGGACGTTGCAACTGTCATAAGTGTGAAAAATGATCATAAGTCACTTTTTCCAGTGCTGTTGTAACTTCAGATGGTCACTAAACAAATGGTGGTAAGTCGAGGAGTACACGTGTAAGAGAATGAACAGGTTGTACCTACAATTTGGGGAGAATTGGAGAAATCCATTTTGCTATCTGACTTAACACATAACAGATAATCAGAGTTGGAAGGGACCTTGTAGGTCATCTAGTCCAACCCCCCACCCAAGTGGGAGACCCTACACCATTTCTGACAAATAGCAGTCCAATCTCTTCTTGAAGGTCTCAAGTGATGGTGCTCCCACAACTTCTGAAGGGCAAGGTGTCCCGTTGGTTGATTGTTCTCACTGTCAGAAAGTTTCTCCTTATTTCCAGGTTAAATCTCTCTTTGTTCAGTTTCCATCCATTATTCCTTGTCTGGCCTACAGAAATATATAGTATATGGCACCAAAAATGCTTTCATGAAAGAGAATTCCCTTTGCCCCATCCCATGTTACTTTGTGTAGGTCTTACATTGTCACTGGAGATAGAACAGCACCACAAAATTGAAGACATACCATCCACAGATGACACACAGGCACGTATTTCATATGGTATAATTTTACTAAAGAACATCTGTATACTGGTGGAAAAGTCTGGCAGGCATCTGGGCTTCCCTCACCATCCTAGGCAGCACCCATCACTTTCCTATATCTGCTGGGACAATAAAAGTGCTCCAAATGGGAAAAGCATGGGGAGGACCTGGCACACGCGTGTGCATTTTGCATGCAGAGGTGCATACATTCGTCAGACTGTTGGGCCCAGTTCCCTAATGTTCATCAGCAATCTAGCCAATCCTTGACTTCACTGTAGCTCCAGCACATTCCTTGTTTAGATGAACCAAGATGAAGGCAATAATGGCAATTAAATACGATCTAGAAGTTCTCCAGGGCCGGGTGTCAAAAGGAGGACACACTTCCAAGCATGAGCAGATGTTGCTGAGGGAGAACTGCCAATATTCGTAGAAACAACTCCCAAGCTCACCTTCTCGAATCAGGCAATCCCCATTCCCTCATATCCAAGGAACGGTGCTTGCTTTCATAAGAGGCGTATCTCAAGGTTAATTAATTACCATCTGGACAAGGAAGTCACCTGATATATGTTCTCTCTCTCCCGTCTGTAGCAATAGCCTATATCTGAATGAGGGCTCCACCTTCACCTTCCAAAAAATTTCCCTTAGAATTTAAACCTTCACCTCCATCATTGCATCACTCTTCACCTTTACATGGATGTGGCCCTGCCGGGACTCCGCTCTGTCCCGTGATTGTACAGGAATGACGGCAGAGGTTAAAATGAGGCCTGGTTATGATGTACAATATGGCTATCGTTAGAGCCAGCCAGGTTGGGCGTTTGTGTGGTTGCTTGTATTGGCAGCCAGAATCAGATTGGGAAAGTATGTTAAGTGCTTTTGATAACGAATGTACATAATCGATGCATCCCGGTCCAACAGTATGGAACTCTTTGGGGTTACAGGAAATAACTTTTTGTCATAACCAAAATGCTTAGAAGACTCAATTATCTGCTGCAGGAAGACTGTGCTACAGACTGGCTTGCAATAAATAGACCCTTTTGCAAACAATCAGGTTGTAGCAAAAGCGGGGTGGGGGGTGGGGGGGGGAAATGTCCTTGTAAAGAAGACCCTTGTGAATTATGGTAGGACTGTCAGTAACGCAATACAATTGCCACATCATAACTCAACTCTACACTAAATTGGTGTCCCTGAATGCTGTATCTACTGGTATCTGTATCTACTGGTAACTGTACCTAGGTAAGTTTACAGAGGAGCAAAAACTAACCAGTTTTCAACGCTCCTTTCAGTCTGAATTTCTTCTCGCTCAGATTCCTGCAAGCATCCATGGCATGCAGAGAAAGAGTTTGGGTTTACAACAACCATATTTCCAGTTGCTCTCTTCCCGAGTAGTGACACTTGAAGAGTAGTGAGATGTGGACGTGGGGGCAGGAAGTGTGGATGTGGGTATCCTTGGGATTCCCTACTTCTAAAATAAGTCTCCAGATTTTCCACTTGGGATTCCAGGCTCCAGGGGAAGCAGATGGACAGACATGAAGATATTTTACAAAGACTAGGAATTATTATTCCTTTTCCTTCCTTTCTTTTTTTGGGAAAAAAAAGCCCCTTCCCAGCCAGCTGTACAGAGTCCCCACCCAGCTGTACAGAGTCCCCACCACCAGATGCCCATTCCCACCCCCGGCCACCCAAGCAAAGGCCCACTCTCCCTTTCTCCAGATGTCTGTAAGGTCCTTCACTTGTAGAGCAAGTGGACACGGCTCCCATCACAGTTGTTGCGTCCCAGCTTGTCAGCCTGCTCCGCTACCAGGCAACGGACGAGAGGCAGGCTGGGCTGGTAGAGGTTGGGGCCAGTGGCTGCAGAAGCTGAAGCCGAGTTGTTGAAATGGTTGTCAGCTGCACAGTTGGAGGAGCGCCGACGGGAACGCAGTTGCTGCCGCTCTTTCAGCTGGTGCTGGAGCTCTGAGACACGCTCTTCTTTCTGTCGGGGAGGAAGGAAAGAGGGAGGGAGGGAGGGGGTCTATGAAGCAATGGGGCAAGAGCCCCCAGGTGGAAGGGATGGATGTTGGCACAGGAGGACTTGATCATATGCTATGCTATGTGTTGACTGTAAAGGACCACATAATAGATTTGTTCTCAACTTGGTCCTTTAGATGAGCCACGGCGGCGCAGTGGTTAGAGTGCAGTACTGCAGGCTACTACTTCTGCCGACTGCCGTCTGCCTGCAATTTGGCAGATCGAGTCTCCCCAGGCTCAAGGTTGACTCAGCCCACCAGCCTTCCGAGGTGGGTAAAATGAGGGCCCAGATTGTTGGGGGCAAGATATAAACCACT